ATAAATACATCACTAATAAAATAAAAATAATAACTATAAATAAATAAAATTAAAATTATCAGTACAATAATAAATAAATAAAAATAAAATTATTAACACCTAGATAATAAAATAAAAATAATTACAAAAAAATTAAAGTGATAAATACCTCACTAATATTAAAATAATAACAATAAATAAAAAAAATAAAAACAATAAAATAAAATAAATAAATCAATAAATATAAATAAATCAAATATATAAAATAATAAATGTTTTTTTTACAACTTATAAATTCCTTAATGTCATCCTTAGACAATCATCATCATCCTACCAAAGGAAATCCACTCATTTATCAATCCTTTATGTATAATAACACAATCAAAAGACAAATTAGAAAAACAATTAACTTCTTTTATCTTAAAATAACTTATCCAAACTAAATAATCAATAGACTAAGTTACTTTCAACTATGTGAAATTTGATTTTTTTTTTATAAATAAAAACAATGTATGTGAAAGTGGAGAAAGGAAGAAAAAAGATAAATAAAGAGTTTTCATTCCTCTTCTTAGGTTTCATTATATAGAAACTTTTATTATTATTATATTAACTATTTTAATATATTTTGTTTCCTGCACATTCACATATCCTACAATATACATTCACATGTGCACAATCCCATTAATAATAGTTGCTGAAAGAAACATTCCATTTATCCTTACTGCACATGAATTAGAATTGTTTAATAATTCACATTTGCTACAATTTTCACTTGAGAAAACAAAATATGTTCCCTCATAGGAAGTTTAAATTTCCGTTCTATTTTTATTTGAGTAAAAAAATTTCTTTTAAGCGAAAATATAATAAAACTTAGTCTCATCAACAAAATCAATTAATTTTCCAAACATATTCTCAAAAATATTTTGATAATAGAATTTCTAATTAGTTTAAATAATCGTTTCAAACCATAATTTCTTCAAACATCATCCTCTATTCATCTCAAATTAATCTTGATCATTCAAACTCATTATATATATATATATATATATATATATATATATATTTTACATCAAACTCATTAATTAACAAAACATTTTCTTTCAAATAAAAATAATTTAAGTTAATTTATCTAAAATGGATTAATATAATATAACAAATTTCATTCATCCAAATTATACAATTATCGTCTTAAACTCAAATATTAAAAGTAAGTTGAAACAACACATAATTTTGCATAAAACTCAAAATATTGTCACTTTTATATCCAAATTATTTATCATAAAGTTTTATAAAAAAAAACATAAATAACTTTCCTTACTTTAAATCATTTTCTTTCGACCAACTTGCATATTTAAGTAATAAAAATATTTCAAAATTTATGGATCCAAATAACATAATAAAATTTTATAGTAATTTGAGATGATCACTTCTATAAATTAATTTACCAAAATTGAAAACAAAAATATAATGACAACAAGAGAACAAATAATATATAGTATAATGACTTCTCAATAACCTTGACCAACTCGTTTCTGACCTTAGGCGATTTCTCAACAATCTTGGTTGACATCTTCATTGGGTTCTTTTCAACATCTTCATCTTCCTCTTTGTCTGGTTCAAGAACACGGGATGCCTTCTCTTCTTTTTCATTCTCTTCTTTTTCAAGAGCCGCTTTCTTCAACTCCTCAAGTTCAACCCTCTGTTTATTCATAATTTCATTAGCTTCATCTAGAAGCCTCCCTATCCGCTGAATCTCTTCATCTTTATGTTTGAGTTCTTTCTCTAGGTTTTCCTTCTCCACAATTGTTGCATCCTTTACCGAGATCATTTTATCCATTGTTGGAATTGGGCTTTCCATGTCCACTGCATCTGAGCTCTTAGAGAATTCCACACTCTTCTTCTACATCATCTCCCTTTTTGTCTTAGTCTTGCAATACTTCACAATATGGCCAGCCTTTCCACAGTTGTAGCACTTGCTTGATCTACACTCGTTTGCATAGTGGTCATACTTGCCACACTTAAAACACTTCACTCTTGGTCGATCTCCTCGACCTTTCCCTTGTCCTCGATTAGGCCAATTTTGTTGACCGATTTGCTCTTCACTATCATTCTCAAAATTACCTCGTCCACGTCCACCTCGTCCTCGGCCTCCTCGCCCTTTACCGCCAAGATCTCGGCTCTGAGTAATTCGAGTTTTATTCAAGTCAAACTATACATGTAGTGCTTGATCGTCGGGTTCAACCTGATCATCCAACCCTTTCTCCTTTGTTCGTGGGCTTTTAATGACCCAACAAGTTCATCCATTGTGAGAACCGGCAAGTCATTTGATTCTTCGATGGCACACACGATACTTTTGAAATCTTTTGTAAGGGATCTCAAAATTTTTCCCACAACCTGGCCAAATGGCATTTGTTCTCCATTCCTGCCGATTTGGTTGTCCACCTTCTCCACTTGAGTTATGTACTCGGTTATATGCTCTTTGAGCTCCATCTTCAACTCTTCAAACTCTCCTATCAGAGCTTGTATTCAGACTTGTCTAACGCGGTTGTCACCTTTATACACAACCTCCAATATCTCCCAGGCTTCCTTTGTTGATTTAACATTCACTATTTTTTCGAATCCTGACTCATCTACTGCATTGTAGAGAAAGTACAATATTGACCCATCTCTTGCACATGTTTTCTTCAATGTTGTCATCTGTGTCGTCTGATGTTCATCCTCATCAAGTTCAACGTACTTGTCTTCCACAATATCCCAAACGTCTTGGGATCTCAATAATGCCTTCATTTGTGGGCACCAATTATCATATTTGGTTTTTCTCGTCAATTGTGGCACACTCATACCATTGATAACATTTGTCATCTCTCTCACACAAAAAAAATCAAGCACTCACTTTTTCTCTCAGGATGTTTGACTCTCTCTTTTTTTCTCTCTCTCAGTACTCAGTTAAAAAAATCTCACGTTACACACACTCATATATTTTCCAAAAATTGAGTCTTGTATTTATTGATAATTAAAGAACTTTAAATAGCCGTGACATTTATAATATTACGAAATAAAAATAAAATCTGAAAATAAAATATCAACTATCTTACAAATAAAATATGTTTAATTTGTTATAAAATAATATTATACCTAGATAAACCGAAAATTATAACTACCTATTTCTATTTTATCTCTATCAAAATCAAACTAAATATTACTATATCCAAAACTAATAACAGAAAATTTAAACAAAAATTATTAATAAAACCTTAAAATTTAAGTTTATCTCAAGTAGAAGATGATGCAAATTGGGAAAGATGTAAAGAAGTGATACTCAAAAGAGAGTTGTTGCTTAAATATATAATTTTCTTTTGTATTATATAGTTTTTCCTAATTTATCAAAGTTTTTTTTTTATATATTTTGAAAGTTTAAAATTTTAATTTTTCATGAAATTATAAATAAATTTTATATAATTTTAAGTTTGATTATGCTTAATATTTAATTTATAACATTTTAATTAGTAAGATAGTTCTATTTAATTGGGATGTTACATAAATAAATAATATATATTTTTTTTAGAAAAAGTATTAAAAGAAGGACGAGTTTTGTTAAAGAAAACCTTATGAAAATAAAAGTTTGTAATAAGAGTAGTTTTTTTTTCCTTATAACTTAATATTAACCATTTTAGTAATTTCATTATTAGAGTGTGTTGGTTTCTAGAGAAAAAAAAAACATTTTTCAGTTTGCTCTTAAGGAAGTATTTGAGCGAAAAGTATAATCAATTAACATAATAAATACTGTAATTTTTTCAAGTAGAACTTTTAAAAGAAAGACGATTTTATTTTCTTTTTTTTTTATCAATGAAAACATTAAGAACTAGAGAGATAAAATTTTCTCATTTTTAATTTTTTGTTGAAAAATTTCCAAGTTTAAGTAAGTGATTAAAATCTGAACATTTTTCCTTTAATAAAAAATGTAAATAAGATTTTTTTTTATTAAAATACTTTTCTGGTTTTTATAATATAACATTGACCATAAGAAGGTATTGTTTCGGAGAGAAGAAACACACAGAAATATTGTATCAAAAATAAAGTTTAAAAAAATAAGATAATAAAAATATGTAAATCGCTCAACAAAAACCATTATACATAAGAAACTCTTTTTGGCAGCTGAAGAACTATTTGCTTGGAAAATATATAATCAATTAACATAATTATATTTTAATATAATCAATTAATTTTTTAATGTAATTATAATTATATTTCTATCATAATGTAATAAGTAATTAAAATAAATATATTATAATAATAAATAAATTCATTTTAATATATATTTATTTTGAATTATAATGTTTTATTCATTAAAAGTTAATAATAATTGTTTGTTTTAATTTTAATTTATATTGTAATTTTTTTAGAAATATTCTTTTAATATACATAAAATTTTTCCACTACACTAATTAATTAAATCAACTATAAATTTACCGTTCATTTCCTTTCATTTTTGACTATTTTATCTTCGATTCAAACCATCTATCCAATCACTTTTTCATCCTTTTCTTTTTGTACTCACAAAACAGTAATTACCAGAATTCAAAATCAATTTTTCTATCTTCTGGTGAAATTGTGTGTAGTAATGTCAACTTTTACTGCTGATTAACTGTATAAAAAAATAATTACTCATTTAGTAATTTTTAAAAATTTTCTTATTTATTCCAAAACCTTCAACTTGACTTTGTTTAAAATATTTGAACCCAGTTTCCTTCTACCAACAAATAGAGTACTGTATGAAGTTAGGTATTGACAATTTTTTTTGCATAATTTCCATCACAGATTTATCAATTATATATATTCCTGAATAGTGGACTGCTTCAAAAATCAATTTTGGTAGATTTGAAAACCACCCTATTGGAAGATTTGACCGAGCAAGTACAGATCTGAATTTAATTTGTTCTAAAAATGAAAAATGAATGGATTCTACATGATTCTGGTACGGGAAAGATATTTAAAATATAAAATGTTGCAGGAGGCACACTCAAATTTTTGTTGGGACAAACTAGTCGAATATAATATAAAAGGTGTTTGTGTGTGTTCTTCCATCCTTAGCAACACTGGTAAGTTTTCTGTAATCTTACTTAGTAAGTACCCTTCAGATCTTTACCATTACGTCCTTTGCCATCTTCATATGCTGCCACTGACACAGTTTCTGACACTCACCACTTGCACTCTCTATCTTTGGCTCCAAAGATACACTCCAAACCCACAATGAGAAAGAACAAAACAGCCCCCACTTTATGTTTCACTTGCTATTTCTGAAACTGCCGACCCTTTTGACCAACTAGCTTTTGTTATTATTCTTCTTGCTGTTGCTGTTGTTACTGAGCCATGGAAATCATGGAAATGGAGGAATTTTTATGGGGTGGTGACATTGATGGGGATGTTCCTAAGGGGAACAGTGATGGTTTTGAAGGAAGCAGTGGAATGATTGGAAGTGGGTGTGGTTCATCTTTCTCTCTGGTTTTGGATAGGGAGAGAGGGGAGCTTGTGGAGGCTCCTGTGAAATTGGAGAGAAAAGGGGTGTCCACTGAGAGAACCACTGAAGCTTTGAAGAACCACAGCGAGGCAGAGAGGAGAAGGAGGGCAAGGATTAATGCACATCTTGATACTCTTCGCAGTGTCATTCCCGGTGCTATGAAGGTCTGTTCAACATTTTTTTTTTCAGGCATAATTTTTCTTTTCCTTTTCCTGTAAATGATTAGAAAGCATGTAAACCATTTGAATGTTTGTCAGAAAGGTAGTCATTTAATTGAATTGGGTCATGAAATTCAAGGGATGTGCAATAACGATCTGGTTAACTTTATCTGAATTTGGTTCATATCATGTTTGTAGTATTGCGTCATCTTCATTTGAGCTTTTAACCTTCTCTTCTGCTTCCATTACCATCTCAGAGTGTCCTGATGAAAAGTGTTGTTAGCTTGAATTTAATTGTTACTTTTGACTGTCAATGACTCGATTTGAGTTTTCTATCTAACTATGTGAACTTTAGTTTGATTTGAGAAGCTCAGATGTCAGTAGAAATAAACATGTTTCACTATTCATTCATTGTTTGAAAACTTGAGCTTCACTTTTGGACATGTAGATGGACAAAGCATCATTACTTGGTGAGGTTATCAGACATTTGAAAGAGCTGAAAAGGAATGCAGCACAGGCTTGTGAAGGTTTGATGATACCAAAGGACAATGATGAAATAAGTGTTGAAGAACAAGAGGGTGGGTTGAATGGTTTTCCTTATTCAATTAGAGCATCACTATGTTGTGAATATAAACCTGGCCTGTTGTCTGATATAAGACAAGCACTAGATTCTCTTCATCTTATGATAACAAGGGCAGATATTGCAACCTTAGAAGGCAGAATGAAGAATGTTTTTGTGATCATTAGCTGCAAAGAACACAACTTTGAAGATGCTTCATACCGTCAGTTTCTGGCTGGTTCTGTTCACCAAGCTCTTAGATCTGTGCTCAATAGATTTTCTGTTTCAGAGGACATTTTAGGAACCAGGAAAAGAAGAAGGATTTCTATATTCAGTTCTTCATCTTTGGAAGATTTCTTGTAACCTCCCTTTCCAAGTCTTAATGTGATGAGTGATAGCAGTAAGTTCTTCATGTACCATGTAGACTCATGTATACATACTCAAATGTTGTCCTTCCATGCTTTCTGATATGGACATGTACTTTTTGAGAAGACAAATCATGTGAAAATATAATGGGCATCTTTTTTGGGGTGTACAAAATGTTAAAGTTGCTTTGACAGATTGGTTGATGGTTAACTTATCAAAGTAACATCTTTTCATCCTTTGATCCACACAAACTGGAGTCTATGATATCAATTGGTATGAATTATCTTCATGAGAAGTATACAGCAAACAAATATAAAATGTTAGTTTGGAAAAAGTTGTTGATTTGGTCAAGGTTTGGCAATGGTTTCTACTAAGTCCCTATACCTTTTCTTCAAAAGAAAAATCAAGAAATGCTGCTGTGGAAGCTGAATTTTGACTGCAGGAAAAGAATGAGATGACTCTATGATTGAAAAACCCAAAATTATGAGTTGTGGTTATGAAAGGTTTTCAATTTTTTCTAATCAATTTTGATTTTTTTTCATGCAAATAAAGTATAAAGAACATTTAAAAGAGTTTCCATGAAGTATGGTTAAATTTATATTATCATATAAATACTGAGGTAAAACAATTAAGTAATTCCATTAAGTTTAGGCAAAAGGGTAACCAATGCCTTTATCAAGGCAACTTTTAACCACACCTTTAATGAACAAAAATGAATATTTCTAATAGGAATATTCTGCTTTGATTTCTTATGAGAGGGACTTAATAAGACTCTAATACAAGATTATTTTTCCTAGCTTTTCAATTTTAACAATTTTAGAGATTAAAATTCTTTTTTAAATCTAGAAAGTAAGCATAAGGCTGTTATTACAATTTTTTGAAAACAATAAAATAATGCGTATATTAACACTATAAAATCCACGTTGGAGCAAGAAGATATCACGTTTCTTCCAAACTCCACGTGGCGAGATAGCATACGCGAATGAGATTGTGTGGTAATGCAGAGCAAAGTCTTTCTGTTGGTGACAGTTGCACACACAACTTAGAAGCGACATGGCTCTCTCTTTGCCACTTCAGAACCTCTCCGCAGTCATCTCCGCCACCGGTAATGCCACAACGGCAGCATCTCGGCCTCCGAAGGGGCGGCGCTGGGAGGTTCACTCGGTGGCGTCCAATACAAGCGCCGCCGGCCCGCTGCAGTTCGGCGAGTACGAAGAAGGGAAGCTTGAGCGACCAAAGTGGACTGGGGAGACCCCTCTTTCTCGGCTGGTCAAAGCTATCATCTCCTTCAAGCCTTTGTACTTTGTTCTCAAGCTTGGTGCTAGAAGGGTTTTGATAAGGTTCTTCATTGCGCCTTCTTCCCTTTACTTCAACTTCGAATTTTGCATAATTACTTTGTAACTTTTTTATGCTCGAAAGGTGTGTACTTGACGGTTGATCATGTTTGAAGATTTGGATATACATTTGTACTCGTTTAGGAACTTTTTGCTGCAGAGTAAATTCTATTAATCGAAGCATTATATGGTATTGTGTTAATCAACATTTTGCCAATTGTAGATGATTTAAAACATTTGAGAATAAGAATAAAGAGGATTTCTCGCTACTTGTTCTTTCACACACACCTCCAAATACACTCATCTGTCTGCATTCGTATAATCGTTGTATTGTGTCAGCTTTTGACGTTTAAAAGGGTCTGGCTACTAGTTTGATGCATGTTACCAAATCCGTTTTGCAGGAAAAAGAGTTTGGTTGTTATGTTACATTATTGAACTAATATTTGATTGGTGTGTCTCTTAGAATTTAGGTTTGACTCTAACACAATCCCGCAAAATCAATCAACTTATAAGATTAGAGTTGTCTCACTTGTACATTATAATTTACTATATCTCTAGGTTTTTCATCACCCTCTCACTTTGAGAATGGGAATAAGGATGACATTTGTAGGACTCGACAATTGTGAGTGGGTTGTGGAATTGTGTTCATGTGTCTAACTTGGTCATATCTCTACACAATAAGGGATGTGCAATTGTGTCTGTTATTGAGAGATTTTCTTCAAAGGACCATGAACAACCCAAATGAACTTGACACCACATTCTTTTTAAAACCTTTATACATTAGGGTTATGGGTTCTTCTAGCTTGTCCCATAATGTATATCTCTTCCATATTATTATGTTGTCATGACTCATTTTGTGAACTTCATCTCCCGCAGTATGGAGCAACGGTAATAATGTAATGTACATATACTTAATGTAATCCCAATTCTGATATTAATAGAAATACAGTCATTCTGCTCCCAAGCACGTGGCCACATTTTTGAACTTCGTTAAATTACTGTCTTTGTGTGTGTGCCTTCTTATTCTACTGTTTTAGAATCCAGTTGCTATTGGTTACATGACGAAATGAAGATGTGATAAGCATCGTTTTGTTGGGAAGTGAGTGTATTTTTTCAATGTGAATGCACAGTACAGCTGAGAAGAACAACATACCTTGGACGAAGATGGCGAAAGAGATTTTAGAGTCAGAAGTGTATAGGGAGATGGACATCATTCAAAACCAGTCTTTAGTGTACCCTGATTGTAAGTTTGTGACTATCTAGGTTTTACATTATGTTACCCTTCTATTCATCGTTGTCTTTACTCTTGCATATCATTGAAAAGGATGGAATGCCTTCAATCACATTACAGATTATTTGAATCCATTCCATGCATACGAGGAGGGCAATCTTACATGGCTGGTATGTGATAATTCTGAATTTTCCCATTTGTCAATTGATGGCTTAATTTGGTCACTTCTTTCTTGATAATCAGACAATACTTAACAAGTTCCTGTTTGGTCGGTGGGTTGGTTGTGCTTGTTTCTCCCAGCACTTCTTTTTATGACGTACACATTGTGTGCGACTTTCGTTTATTTCATTAATTCAAATTTATTAGTATTGAAGCCATGATTAATATTTTTCATTCATGAAATGTAGACATGGCAGAAACACCTCAAATTTTATTCTAATTATAGATAAGTTGTGTCAGAAGTTCCACTTTATTGTTGTAAATATACCACTGTGCCTTCTGACCTGACATATCCATCCAAGCTATGCATGTAACTTTTCTTAAATGTTAGGATACATAAATTAATATCATCTTATTGAAGAAGCTTAATGCATTTCATATTCTTATTTTCTTTCCCTACAAGTATTAACGAAGATATTTATCCAAACAAGACCATATTTGACAACTTTTTGTTGGCAAATTTTCTTTTGGCCAGAGCTATTGAACCTCAATAACATGTTTTGGCTAAAGCATGTGTATGATCTGTAGGTTGTCATATTTGCAGATGGTCAACTTTAGTGGCTCTTGTGAACATTAGTATCTATTAATGCGCTCTATTGACTAAAATCGTGTAATTTTCCGATGTATTTATGTTATTTAGAAATTGTTAAAGTCTAAGGTGTCTTGGACTTGCTCGTTTGTTAAGCAGGCAATCATATGGATGGAAATGTAATAGTAATTTCCAAACGAAAAAAAAAAAGAAGCATTTTATTATAAAATCTGGATTCAAATATTATAGGCCGCAGCAGAAGCAGAGGCTGCTACAATGTCAATGGTTAGACGAGTAGTTCCAAATGCTTCCTCATTGGACGAAGCAAATCAAGTACTGCGCGGGAATTGGCTTCTTGCAATTGAACAACACCATATACAGTATTCAGAATCATCTGTGATTAATGACATTCTAGATATTGGATGCTCTGTCGGTGTAAGCACAAAATATCTTGCAGACAAGTTCCCCACAGCCAATGTCACAGTGAGTGAGTTTTTAATGGATGTCTGAATTTGCTTTCTTAATACTATAAAATCATTCTTTTCGAACTTGGATTTACTGAGAATAAAAGTGTTATACATGGTACTGATGTACTTTGTGATTAATATTTTTGTTCCAGGGGCTAGATCTGTCACCGTATTTTCTAGCTGTGGCTCAGCATAAAGAAAAGACTGCAATGCCCAGGAAAACTCCTCTAAGATGGATACATGCAAATGGGGAAGACACGGGCTTGCCTTCTAAATCATTCGACCTTGTTTCTCTTGCCTTTGTGGTATGATTTTTCTTTTCCTCTTCAGTCCTTTAAAGTTTGACCAAAAAGGGTTGGGTCTAGAGAAATTAACTAGTTTGTTCTCATAAAATAGTGAACTACTGTTCAGATCCTTACCGGAGAAGTACTACCATTTATTGTCTGATCATATGTTGGGCAAGATTTATACTTGACAGAAACCTACCAAAAAAGGGTAACTTTTTACATCAATAGGGTAGGTTTACCCCATAATTACGAAAATGGGCAGTTAACTGGGAATTTATGAGGCAGGAGGCGACTTCTAAAGGGAAGTAGTATGGAATGAAGACGGTTTTTTCACGAAATCAGAAAAAGGGAAAGTCGTCATGTATGATAACAACTTTTTTGCAAAACTTTTTTAATTGAAGTCATTATGTATTATAACAACTTACAATTTCATTGAGAAAAAATGAAATCGTTAGGTGTAATTGTAATAATGACTTCCAATTGAAGTGAAATCATTAAGGAGATGAGTTTTCATTTCCTTTCCGATCCTCGAGTTTAACAGTATTGGTTAGCATAACTGGGGATGATTTCAGATCAATTGAAAATCATTATTACATCTAATGATTTCATTTTCATCTAATGAAATTGGAATATATAACGACTTCAGTTCAAAAATTTGCAAAGAAGTCGTTATCATATATGACGGCTTTCTCTTTTTCTGATTTCGTGAAGCAGCTTCATTCGATATGAATTCACTTTAAAGTCGTCTTAGGTCATAATGACTTGCCCTGTCTTGTAAATTCCCAGTCAACCGCCCATTTTCGTAAGTACTGGGTAAAACTATCCATTGATGTAAAAAAACCCAAAAAAGGTTTAAGAAAATGTACTATTTTTCTATATATATAAATATTTTATCTCAATCTAGTCAACATAAAATGAGAATACAGAAATCCCTTTGTTCAGTTGAACATGATTTCTTGAAATGTGATATGATTTTTCTTCAATCAAAGGCCTGAAAGGCATACAAATTTTTATTAAGACTCACATAAATGAATCGTTGAATTCTACCAAGAGACTAATATTTTTCAGTGTTCTTGCATTAAATCAGTTGTGAATTTCCAGT